GTCTAAAAAAAAAAAAAAAAAAAAAAAAAAAAAGAAAAGAAAAGAAAGTCAAAAACTCCCTATGAACAACGGCACAGAGTGAACATTCTCCTTCTAAAAATGAGGAGTAGGGCAATAGAAACAAATTGGACCAAATCAAGACCTTTTTAGTAACCAAGTTCTCTTCTGCTCCAACATTGCAAGCCTTTTCATTCTGGCAAGGCTGAAAACATTTGGCATTTTGCCATTGATTTTCAGTGTAGATTGGATTAAAAGCTGCCAATAGTACATATGCCATAGCCTGAATACAGCTGCCTTGAAATTACCTCCATCAGATTAGTCTGCTCCCCTTAATTTCAGTCTCCTACAAAGTCTCAGAACATGAGAAAAATGTAGATAAAATTTCCACCACAGCACAATACACATGGTCTCAAGGCCAGTGGTGTCTTTGTTCCCTCCTGAGCTTGGCCTTCAGGTCTGCATTTCTATGAGCATTCTGATTTCCTGAGCTCAGACCAGAATCTCCCATCAAGCTCAGCTTACAACATTCTAGGGCTTCTCTAGCCAGTGTCTAAACTTTTCCAAATTCTTCCTATACAAAAGTTCCAAGTTTCTAAACCACACGGTCAGATAGTCAAAGCAAAATCCCATTCTCTGGTACCAAAATCTCTCTAAGTCATTTTCTCATTACTAAGACACAATACCCACCACCCAAAATTTAGAGAGATTTGCTTTGGTGGCTCTAAGGTAGAAAACAGCATAGGAGAGGGGCATGGTGCAGGAAAAACTGCTCACACCATGGCAGCCAGGCTAGACAGAGAGAAGTGAAGACTGGGAAAAGATTTAGGTCACACCTCTAGTCGTGCCTTCCAGGCCATGCCTCCAGTGACCTGCCTCTTCTGACCAGGCCCCACCTCCCAATAACACTTTGTCACTAACTCATTGGTGGGTGAATCCACTATGAGTACAGCGCCCCTATGATCCAATCACTTTCATAAATCCTTCCCTCTGAGTGCATAAAGCTTTGGGGCAACAGACTCAGTCCAACCAAGACCAAGTAAATGGATTTCTGACCAAGGCGTATCGATGAATCAAAGACTGCCACAGTGGCAAACTCTTTGGCCCTTAGTCTCTCATTAAATTCATGATTTATATGAGGAATTTAAAAATGGATTTTGCCCAAAACTGTGAGTCTTTACTTAGGCTGATAGATGCCCAACAGGTAAATATCGGTAGGAGAAAGCCTGACCTTCACTTTGTAAAACTCGGGATCATACCCTTCTCAGTTCTGCATGTAGCTATGAAAGTCTGACTAAACGGGGAAAACAAGAACTACTAACCCTAACTTTACCTACTCTACTCATTTCTTCAAGACTGAGTACACCAGGATAAGTTTTACAGAACATTTATCTATGCCCAGAAATTTATGGCTAGTTGCTTTGAATTTTAGAAGAGCCTCGTGTGACCGAGAGTCTTCCAGAGTCCTATCATGAGAACTAAATTACCCGTGAAGTCGTGAGGATTCCTCTAGAGCTATGAATCCAGGACTGAGTGACCATGTCCCAGTCCACCATAGCACCCTACAAAACTATTCTGTTCTTTTGTGAATCAGACAGACCTGCGCCCTCTTCAGACCTGTGTCCCCATCAGTTTCTATGAAGCCTTTTTCTTATCTTCTACCTATTAGGGGACAAGCTTGAACTTTGTCAGAGCAGTGTTCTCCTGTCTTACTTTTTAAAGCTTTTTCTCCTGTAAACTCATACTGCTGTTGCATTTTTAATTTTCATTACCAATACAGTAAGGATTCATGATAGCCAGTGCCACTAAGAAATATATTTGGAACCAGGTGGTGACACATCTGTAATCGTAGGCTGAAGCAGGAAGATCACAAATTTGAGGCCAGCCTGGACAATTTAGTGAGACTATCTCAAAATAAAAAATAAAAAGCTGCAAAGGTAGCTCATTGGTAGAGTTCCAGTTTCAATCCCCACCACCACAAGGGAAAATAAAAACAAAACACACACACACCTCTGGTATATTCTAAAACTCTTGGAATTCCCTGAGTTGGTTTGAGGTCATCTTTTATTGTTCAAAATAAGCCCCTTTCATACCTGATTCTGCTAATGTGGTATCTTGGTGTGCCTCTGTGTAGCTTCAGGTTGAGGGATGGCTGCCAGAGGAACCAGCTCATGCTTAGACAATTGGAAATTCCAGCCTCATACTGACTTCTAGGAAGGAGAGGTTGAATTATTTACTGGTAGGTAGCCAATGATTTAATCCACCATGGGTACAAAACAGGGTATCTGTAAAGATCATAAACAATTAGGTTGAGAGACGTTCTGGGATGGCAAATATATTCATGCACAGGTAGGCAGGGCAGGGCACCTCAACTTAGGGACATTTGAGACCCCTCCAGATCTTGCCCTATGTAATTCATCTGCTTAAATGTTCCTTTGGTGTCTTCCATAACTGGTAATAGTGTTTCTGTGAGTCTTGTCTGTTATAGGAAATTAATGAAACTGAATGTCATGGAACCCTTGATTTTGTAGCCAAGTCAGAAGTGTGGATAACCTGCAGATTCACTGTGACTGCTGTCAGGAGATAGTTTTATGGCAGAGCCCTTAAAACTGTGGGATCTGAATTTACTCTTGGTTATTAGAAAGTTTCACTGCTAAGACACACAGTGACCACAAATGAATTGCTTGTTGTGAAAATATACATTGGGCATCAGAAGTGTTTTCTTTTTTGTCCATTTATAGGTGATGTGGAAAAACCTGTGATGACCCATATTCCTTTGTACCTATTTATCTCTGCCAGGGGCAGGGATTTATCTAAGTGCTCACATATTTTTATGACTTAGACAGAATATTATTACCTAAAAATGGACTCCCCGCCCCTTAACTGTTCGAGGGTTCTGAAACAATAAATCCTAACCTCCATTGGGGGAGGGTGAGGAAGGATAAAGACATACTATAGATTTTTTAAATTCAAATTTCTTTTTGAAAACTAATCCTATACCTAGTCCATTGTGATTTGCTGTGTGGAGCAGAGGCTGCCCTCTTTAGACAGGGCATGCATTCTTCAATTCTGCACTTTCACCACTTACGGTCTGTTTTTGTTATTTTGGTACCGCGGATCAAACTTGGATCCTTGCGCTTGCAAGGCAAGCACCTGAACCACTGAGCTAAATCCCCGGCCCACCACTTACTGTCATTCAGAGAAACTTTACTTAATTGTTCTAAAGAAGTGGAAGATTCTCATCTTAAGAGTATTGAGATTTCCAAGAGCCGGAGACCTTGACAAGTACTAAAAAAAGTAGGAATCAAGGTAGATACATTCTCCCAGGACTTCAACAATTATTTGCAGAGAAGTTCCAGTTACTACAAAATAGGAATGTTTTAACGTATTATGGTGTTTCTATTTACATGTGGTACATCTAATTTGGTAAAGACAGTCTACAGTAAATGTCTTTGGGGGGAGGTACTGGGAATCGAATTTAGGACCTTGCAAGGCAGGTGTGGTGCCCAACCCTAGTAAATGTCATTTTTGAGAGGACAGTAGTCTATATGCACAGGTAACACATAAATATGTGAAAAAAATTCTTACTTTTCACTCCTGGAAGTACTACTGAGATAAATACCTCTTTTTACCTTAATAGTTACTTTTACATTTTTTTAAGCTGTTAGTGTCACTTGCTGGTTTTTATTAAGCAACTTATCTTTCTTTTAACTGTAAGATTTCTGTATATATCAGGTACATTTTTATACCACAAATTTTACAAAGAAATTTCCAACTTTTATGCTTTACCTTTTTTTTATTTGAGAGTATTTAAAACAAAAATATATGAATGATCAATTTATCGACATTTTGTTTCTAGCATCCAACTGATACTTTGAAAAATTTTCTATTTCATAAAAGTGAAATGTCTTTCCTCTTTATAAAATACATGCTTGTGCCAAAAATTAAACAGAAATAAATTAGTTTAGCTAGAGCAGATATTTTTATAATATGGGCTTTCTTTATATAAGAACACAATTTTTTCCTCTTTCTCCATTTAGGATTCCTCTGGCGGTCCTCGGTGGAGAATTATAATTTTCACTATATAGATTCCACAAAACAATTGTTTGTTCCCAGAAAATCTCCTGTTCTTGATACTGCTGGGAAGGAGCTATTTTCTTCAGTATTTTCCAGTTGGTTGTTGGTATAAAACAAAGTTATTTATTTTTAGATATTATTTTTTAACTAGGGATAAATTCATTACAAATTGAATAAGACAAAATATGTGTTTCCATGTAAGACTGCCACATTCATTTCTTTCCCAGAGTATTCCTCCAGAGTCAATCTGATGATGCATGATCCATTTCAGCATTAACCTTGTTTCTCAATCCTTCTCACTACTAACATTTCCCTTCATTATGGACACTCTGATGCTGACCGAGTTGGAAGGTAAACCTGAAGGCTTTGCCACAGATATTACACACATAAGGTTTCTTCCAAGTGTGAACAGTCTGGTGTATAATACAGTCAGAACTAAAGCTGAAACCTTTGCCACACTCCACACATCGGAAAGGTTTCTCCCCAGTGTGGCTTCTCTGATGTCGAATTAAATGGGCATTAACATGGAAGGCTTTTCCACACTCCTTACACCGAAAGGGTTTCTCTCCAGTATGAATTCTCTGGTGCACAATATAGTCAGAACTACAACTGAATGCTTTCTCACATTCCATACATTTGAAAGGCTTTTCTCCAGTATGCATTCGTTGATGTCTAGTTAACTTGGCATTGATACTGAAGGCTTTTCCACATTCCTTGCACTGAAAAGGCTTTTCTCCAGTATGGATTCGGCAATGATCAAGCAGATTTCTTTTAGAAGTAAAGCATTTCCTACATTCATTACATTCAAATGGTTTCTCCCCAGTGTGAATTCTCTGATGTTGCATTAGTTTTGCCTTAACACTGAAAGCCTTTCCACACTCATTACACTTATAGGGCTTCTCCCCAGTATGGATCCTCAGATGCTGCCGAAGCTGAGAGTTACATCTAAAGGCTTTTCCACATTCATTACATCCATATGGTTTCTCACCAGTGTGGATTCTCTGGTGCTGCATTAACTTTCCTTTGACACTGAAGGCTTTTCCACATTCAGTGCACCCATAAGGTTTCTCACCTGTGTGGATTCTTTGATGCTGAATGAGTTTTGCATTATTGTTAAAGGCTTTTCCACACTCTTTACACGGATAGGGCTTCTCTCCAGTATGGATACTCTGATGCTGCCGAAGCTGGGAGCTGCACCTGAAGCCTTTCCCACATTCACTGCACATGTAAGGTTTCTCTCCAGTATGGATCCTCTGATGTTGAATTAATTTTGCATTAACACTGAAAGCTTTCCCACAGTCACTGCACTCATAAGGTTTCTCTCCAGTGTGGACTCTCTGGTGTGTAATATATGCAGAACTACAGCTAAAGCCAGTTCCACACTCCTGGCACTGATAGGGTTTCTCTCCTGTATGGATCCTCTGATGCCTACTAAGACTCCCATTAACACTAAAAGCTTTCCCACAAATCTTACACTGATAGGGCTTCTCCCCACTGTGGATTGTCTGATGTGTGATATAATGGGAACTGTAACTGAAGCATTTCCCACACTCCAAACACTTGAAGGGTTTCTCGCCACTATGAAGTCTTTGATGCCAAATTAACTTTGCATTAACACTGAAGGCTTTGCCACATTGCACACACTGATAAGGCTTCTCTACAGTGTAGTTTTCTAGATGTCGATTAGGTTGAGAGTCAAATCTGAAGGTTTCCACTAAGTTTTCACATTTCAAAGTACTTTCCACTGTATTAATTATTTCATGCTTAATAAATTCTGTGCCAAAGCTGTAGGCTTTCATCAATCCTACACAACCAGGGCGCTGCTCTTCAGTGGAGATACTATGATGCTGAAACAAGTCTGGGCTGTTATTAAAGGAACTCTCCTCCATGGAGCTTGTTTCACCCTTCACCGTTGCATCCACGCTGCTGGCGTTTTCCTCCTTCAACCTTCCTGCTGAGTAGACTTCCTGTTGTTGCTCTAGCATGTAGGCTTCTAAAAAGTCTGTTTCCAGGGAAAAGTCCTTCGGAAGTTCAAGTGATGTGCTATCTTTTTCTTCATACATTTCTGTTGTCAAATTATTGTTTGTCTGTATATCGGTATCTACTATAAAAATAGAAAACACAAAATATCATATAAGAAACATACTAAGAAAAAAGAAAAAAGAAAAGGTCGGGGATTTAGCTCAGCGGTTCGGTGGCCTGCCTTGCAAGCGCAAAGACCTGAGTTCAATCCCCGGTACCCAAAGAAGAAAAGAACAAAAGAATTGTACTGTAAAGGATCATAACAATCAGGGAGCTCTTTAAAATCACCAGACTAAGTCAAACAACCTAAAGTTCATCTATAATATGGATGTAGTATGTGTAATACTACTGGTAAAATAACATCTATATATGCCAACACGAAAAGTTGTATAGGGCACAGTTTAGAGGAAAAATAAATTGAGAAACAGAGAAGATACAATTTGTATTTTTAAAAAAAGGACAGATATATACATATATATTTGTATATGCCTAGAAAAGTTCTAATCTAAAAATTTACACAAGAAACTGAGCTAATTGGCACAGGAAGTATGGTAGGCTCCCCTCCCACTACTTGACAATTTTATACTGTTTTGAGCACTTATCAATATTATAAATTTTAAATTAATGAGGCCAGGCGTAGTGGCTCATGCCTGTAATCCCAGCACTCGGGAGGCTGAGGCAGGAGGATTGCTGTGAGTTCAAGACCAGCCTGGACTACATAGTGAGTTCCAGGTCAGTCTCAACTACATAGTGAGACCCTGTCTCAAAAAACCCCACCCCTCAAAAATTTTTTTAAATTAATGATTAAGAAGGACACCAGTCACACTCTTCCTAAGACAAGGCCATAACCAATAACTTGATGGTTAAAAGTGACAGCAGTACCTAAAATTCTAGGTCTGGTCCACCAGATCAGCATTTTAGCCATCATACCATGCTCTGCTACACTCTTGTCACCATGGTATTAAGTCCTTTATTAATAAAAGTGGAAGGCCGGGCATGGTGGTGCACACCTGTAATCCCAGCACTTGGGAGGCTGAGGCAGGATGATCACTGAGTTTGAGACCAACCTGGGCTACATAGTGAGTTCCAGGTCAGTCTCAACTACATAGTGAGACCCTGTCTCAAAAAATAAAATAAAATAAAATAAAATAAAATAAAATAAAATAAAATAAAAGTGGAAAATATTTAAGAAAGAAAGGTACAAGATCCAATAACATAGGACAACACTGGAGATATGTGTCAGAAGCATCAGGAAGCAAAAAAAGGAAACAATTTTGTTTTGTTCCTCAGAACTTAAATATTAGGCTTTCCAAAATTTTTTCTCTACTTTAGAAAAGCTCTGACTAAAGTCAATTTCATCATCTCTTCCCAACCCCTCTAGAATACTGTTGCATTAACTTTGCCCTTCCTGTCACCTCTTCCTCTAACACTAAAACCGATCATTCCCTAAAATTATCTTTACAATCTCAATAGTATTTAGAGGTACTGATCTCTACATCTGTCCCCAAATTTCACAAAAGAAATATTGTGCCCCAAAATATGGCCTCTATTTATTTTATCTTTCATTTCTTTTCAACCATATAAATATTACTCCCTGCCTCCGTATTTCATTACACTTGCCCTCAAGAAACCCAACTTATCTGGCTTTCTCTAAAAGCATTTAAAAAATAATATTGATCTTTTCCAAATTAAATAAAAGAATACTTATTTGTTGCTATAAAGTATTTGTTGTCTTCCGCTCCCCCAATGTATATGCTGAATTCCTAACCTCCTATGTAAATGTATTAGAAGGTGGGCCCTTTGGCAGGGGTCTCATGAATGAGATTAGTGTGAGTTCCCTTCCATTCCACCACGTGAAGACACAGAGAGAAGATAGCTGTCTATTAACCAGGAAGCAGGCCCTCACCAGACACAGATCTGCCTGCACTCTGGATATCAGACTTCCAGCCTCCAAATATTAAGACATAAATTTCTGGCCCAGTGTGGTGATGTACGCCTATAATCTCAGCACTCTGGGAAACTGAAGCAGGAGGTAGAAACTTTGAACCCACCCTGGACAACCTAGTAACATAGCAAAACCCTGCCTCAAAAAAAAAGCTAAGGGCCAGGGATTTAGTTCAGTGGCGCCACTGCCTGCCTCACAAGGTTCGGAGTTCAATCCCCACTACAGGGGGAAAAAAAAAAAACTCAGTGTGTAGGCCCTGGGTTTAACCCTCAATATTAAGAAGAATAAGAAAAAACAGTCTATATTTTCCATCTTTTCTTGCAGTGAGGATGGTAGAGTTCCAGCAAAATAGATTTAAATGGAAGTTACCACATGGGACTTAGGAGAAAGCTTACAAAAAGAGAATCAACTATGCTGTCATGAGCCTCATGCTGTCCTTCCTCTTCTGCCTGAACTAGAGCCTGTTTGATATGTCACCCCTGTATACATGGATGAGATTAATGTTTCTATCCTCAGCTAAGATTGTAATGACCTAAACAAAGACTAAAGATTTCAGGACCATCTGCTGCCACGAGGTTGAAGGTAGCTCAGTGATAGACTACCAGCCTAGCATGTGCAAGGCCCTAGGTTCAATTTCTAGCACCGAAAAAAAAAAAGAGAGAGAGAGAGAAAGAGAGAGAGATCCAAACATCACTGATTAAGGACCTTACAATTAGAAACGCAGACTATTGGCTCTGCTCAAAACTTACTCGCTAATGATCTGTTACTTCTAAGATCCTCTCAAGTGGCTCATTTTAACATCAACATTGGAGAAGCATAGAACTCCTCTTCACTTCTGCTATGTACAGCTCTGTCCCCCTGCCCCAAAATAAAAATATTTAATCAAGCACACTAGGCACTTGATACATGTTGCCTCATTTAATCTTCAACTCCTAAGACCAGCAGTATTGCCTTATCATTATTATTATCGTCATCCCACTTTCAGACGTGAGATCACTGAAACTCAGAGGTCTCAAATAATTGAGCAGGCTCAAAGTAACGTAACTAGAAATCTAGTTGGGATGGGACACAGGAAAGCTTACTCTAAAGACTATACTTTTAACCACTCCTACCTTTATGTGTGAAAAGGCTGTTAGTTCTAGTTCTCGAATTCTGCTTTTTTTTTTTGGTACCGGGGAATCAAACTCAGGACCTTGTGCTTGTGAGGCAGGCAGCGACACCACTGAGCTAAGTCCCCAGCCCAAAAGGCTGTTAGTTCTATATCCTCCACATTAAGTGATCGGTGCTCAGAGAATGGCAAGGACTCCAAAAATTACTAAATCCATTAATTTCGTCTGAGAAAGGCAGGATTCCAAAGTTAGGACTGAAAAGAGTTAGAATAAGGCATTTGAAAAAAAGATTTATTGTTGGGATTACAGAAATGTGGTTGAAAACAGACATAATAGACCTATCTCTATAAATCATCAAAATTTATTAACCTTACTCTGTATGACTGGCCAATAAATGTGGCATGTTTACACAGTATGCTGCTGGGCAGTATGTGCCTTACCAGTCCAAAGGCCCTGAGGGCCTGTTCCAGTTACAATGCCCAGCGGAGACAGGCCCTCCAGCTCACCTCTCTCCAGTTGTGAGATCATAGCCGGTTTACGAAGCGGAAACCCTGGTTCAGAAGAAGGAGAGGAGAGACATGAATAATCTCCCGTGGATGAGTTCCTAAGCTTCTTCTCAAATGGGGAGCAGTGGGGAGAGAGGCTAAGAGCTCTAGAAGAGATCGAGGGTGGTACTGAGCAAGGCCATAGCTTTGGAAGCAATATGGGAGGGAGGGAGTAGAAAGGCACAGACTGCACACTCAGGAGATCTCAAGCGGAGCAAGCTGGGGCAGTCTGCCCACAGTGGACTAAATATTCAGAGTTCATTGAAACCCTTAGACTCAAAATAAAATAAGATAGAGATCTGAAGATGCCACCATGGAACGGGAAGCTACTATTTTTCAGATTGTGTCAAAAACACAAGGTAGAATTCCACAAGGCAGAATTAGAAGCATAGACCAGTGTCTTGTTAAACTGGTCCAGTGAATTTGTCAAGGAGATCAGGAACAACCCTGGGGTTCCTCTTCAGTGAAGGGTTATCAGATATCCACCCTGCATCCTGTCAGGAAGGAGGGAGCCAGGAAACCCCAATGGTAGAGTGTAAATCCCAGGGAGAGAGAAGCCTTACCCAGGGAGGCCACATTCCCATAATTCTCCAGCATCACATCCCTGTACAGGGCTCTCTGTGCAGGGGACAGGCCATCCCATTCCGCCTGAGTGAAGTACACAGCCACATCCTCAAAGGTCACCAACTTCTGAAACAACAGGTTCCTGCTGCCCTAGGGCCAATTCCATGGATCAGGCCCTAAGTGAGGGGCAGAGGGCAGTATAAGGGCTGGGGAGGGACTATGTAAAGATCACATAATTAATAGCATGGGAGAAGTAGAAAGAAGCACCAAGAAAGAAACTATGGAGTATCTGACTCCCCTCCCAGCAGAAAAACTTTATGCCATTTTTTATACTTATAAAAGATAACGTAAGTTAGACTAAAAGATAAAAAAAAATTTCCATAAGCAAATTCTCTTAAAACAACTGCTCTGTTAGATCGCTCCCTCGCTGCCAGGCTCAGGACCAATTCACCAGGATTTCCCACTGCAACCCTACGAGGTCTGGACTCTCTTGTGCCTAACCTCAGCCCTGCCTGACTCCCACATTTTGCCCTCATTCTCACCCCCAGCTACCCGCAAAGAACAGTCCTGGCTTCCACCTCATCTGCCACCTAACTCCCATCACAGACTCCGAGTCAGGGATCAGGAGTCTTTGCTCCAGCACAGCCAGCCAAGGAAATTCAGAGCTACCCAGGCCAGGGTTTCCCTGAATACCCAGCATTTCTGGCCCCTCTCTCACACATCTTCTCCCAAGTCTTTACTCTTTCTCCAAGAAGGCTACGAAAGAAGAGAGACCAGCTTTCTGCTGGCCAACTGCTCTGCCACCCTTCTGGATTCTAGGCTATGTGGTCAGCGTAAGCTCTGCTGCTCAGGGCTCTTGCTGCATGTCACCCTCAGGCCCAAATGCTCCCTCCTGGGTAGCTGCAGCCCCTGACTAACACCCCTTCTCCCCATGTCAGCTGTCTGTAACAGCCTTGTGGACTCACTCGGTGGATGTGCCTCTCATCTCTGCCCAGATTTAGCTTAACAATCAACAATTCTAGTCCCACCTCTAGGTGTTTCTGAGTCCTTTGTGTAACCTCAGACAAGTCATGTAACTTTCCTGCACAAAATTTACGGCCTTCCCTGTATGCTACCATCACCCTTTCCCCCAGCAAGTCAGCACCCCTTCCTTCCTGAATTCATTCTTCAGCTGGTGTTCACAGCACCCACACAGGAAACCTCATTTAGAAACCTGGGAGGCATTCCTGACTCCCCTGCTTCTCTACACAGCCCCTAAATCTCTGACTGTGTGTCCTGAAGATTTTTATGTCTGAGGCATTATTTGAATTGGATTCCTCCTCTTCAACAAATTTCCTTGACGAAGCCCACATTACTTGAATCAGTAAGTAGATTCTTTCTTGAATGTGTCCTTGCTTTTGAATCTCCCTTGAAAATTACTCAACACAACTGTCACAGATCTGATCACTGGTTCACAGCTATCATACACTTGAGCAGTTACAATCACACAACAGCTCCATGACCTTTTTGGCGGAATGATTATACAACAAAGCCCCTATCACAAGAAGAGGATGTCAGGATTAAATAGCCTGTGCAATGGGCGTGGCATGGAGCCTGTTGCACAGTAGGCCTCCAACCATGTTACCAGGACTATCATTCCCAACCTGCAATCCAGGGAGGTCCATGGATAAGCCTCAGGGGTCCCTAAAAGTGTATGAAAAATTTGGTTTGTTGGCTTATTTTTGGAGAGGGGTGAAAGATTTTACCAGAAAATTGAAGGGTGAGCTACTGCAACCCAAGCAGCTTTAAAAGGGCAGAACAGGACACTCTGTCCCACAGGACTTCCTGCTTTTCCCCTCTCCTGATACCAATTTGCATCATCTTCTCCTTCTCCCATAATTAAAGGCACATCCATCCTTCTCTGACCTGATCTGCTCCTCCTTTCCCTACAGCCCTGCCAATGGGAGTCCCAAACCTGTGATTCTCCTTCATTCTCATCTATGCAGAGAGCGTCCCCTATGGGCAGCATCCATACCTGCAGCCCTCTGCCTGTACAGAGGGTCAGAGTCCCTGGTGTGCAGAAGACTATGCACTGCCTTCTAGGTTCACTCTCCTGCAGCCTCTGCTGGTCACTGTCCCAGCCTCTGCCATGCCCCCGCCCCAGCACCACTGCCACAAGTCCCAGGCTTTCAGCTCAAGGCTCATCAACTCCCTTCACAGTTTTCCTCAATTTGACGAACCGGGAGCTCACCTGAGGCCAGGCTGTGAGAAGCATGGCTGCCATCACCTAGGGTCCCTCTCAGAGAAGGGCTGGAACTGGGGAGAAACAGAGAGAAAACGTGAGACAACACAGCCCCTCTCAGAAGATCTGAGGTGCAGGAAGCCAGCTTCCAGTCAGGAGCATGACTAAGAGCTGGCGAGAAAGAGGGAGCGATCCATTCACTAGCTCAGTGCCCAGAACTCCTGGCTAGGTCACTGCTGCTCACTGCCAGGAACCCCAGGATTTTATAACCGTAACAGTCACACAAAAGGGTGGGTACAGAATACATGTAAAGTCTAAAGAATAAAAGAACAAAGTCTTACATAGCAACATTCAGTTCAAGACACAGAACTCCTTTTCTGTAAACCCGTATCACCCTCAAATACACTGAGAGAAACAAGACTGGCTGGGCTGGGAATCATGCAGCACACCCCATCTTGCCTGTTTCTTCAAAGTCCTGAGTGTCCTCAAGAAGCCCAACGCTTCTGTGGAGGTTTGGCAGATCAGCCTCCTGCACAGCCCAGGCTTACTCTGAGGAAACGGAGCGGGAGGTGAAGTGTAAACTGCCTTCTCATACTGTCCCCTTCCTGACTGTGAATGTGCCATGTCACTGCCTGGTACACTTCCACAGAGACACCAGCCAGGTCTGTAAAGCTGCAACCACCAACACCTTCGCAAGGACCTATACCACGTATTCCTGGTTCCTCTCCTGGGGCTGCCCTGGTGTCCTGTGTGCGACACCTGCTCGACCCTGAAGTGCACAGGAGGTAATGTCTCTGGGGCTAACCTTAAAAAAGGGGACAGAATGGAAACATATTTTCACCTTTAGCCCCCACTCCAAGGCTCCTCAATGACCCAAGAAGACAGCCAGACTACTGAGGGCCAAGCCTGATAGTGCATCCTTTTTCTGGTTTGTTCAATCAAACTACCTTGGCCTAAGAAAGCCACCCCACTAACACATTTGAGTCCTTATATGTATGAAGCTGCAACCTGACTTAGTACATAAAGAAAACCTAAATTAAGAATTGACCTCTATAACATATACCTGAGTCTCAACTATAACAGTGGTCAAGCTTCAGCCAAACCAGGTTCAAAATAAGCAAACACCAGGTATTAACCAACTGAGCTATCTCTGAACCTCATTTGCGTTTTCCATACAGTACTTACCTCTTTCCATCCATAAATGTCAGCCAGGCAGGACATGACAGCTCGTTTTACAGAACCTATCCTGGTTCTAGGGACGGCCTGATTACTGAATGGTTCTTTACTCAACTGAACTGTTAAACTTAATTTGTTTAAAGTTTTTCTTTTAATAGGATTTCCCTTCTCAGTTTTCCTATGTGCTTCACTCTGTCCCTGTGACCACACTCCTACAAAAGTTCCTACACATAAATCTTTGTTCTATGTTCTGTCTTTAGGAGAAGCTCAACCACAACAGGCTTTTTCTTTTATCTTTTTAAAATATTTCCTACCTTACTAAAATTGTGTGATTTATGCATTTATTTTCCTTCTTTCTCATTTGGCAACTAAAGCCTATAAGGCCATAAATTTTCCTCTGGATACACTATTAGCCACATTCCAGAAGTTTTTATAGTTCACACTTTAATTACTATTTTATAAGCACTCCAACTGTTTTATCTCTGATCTAATAAATATTTTAACAGAATAGTTTGTATTGCTTATTTTTTCTCTGCTTTTATTTTTTCTAGCTTTACTGTACATTTAAATAAGCTGATCTATTAACTTCTTTTTTTTTTTTTTTGGTACCGGGGATTGAACTCAGGACCTTGCACTTGGCGAGGCAGACAATGGAACCACTGGGCTAAATTCCTGGCCCCTATTAACTTCTATTTTACAGATTTTTGAGGCTTTTTTTTTTTTTTCTCTAGTGTTATTTTAAAACATATTCTATAATGTTTAATGGGAAAATTTAGCTCAGTGGTTCTGGCACCTGCCTCGCAAGCACAAGGACCCAAGTTTGATCCCCAGTACTACCAAAAAAAAAGAAAAAAAAAAAACTTATTCTGTGATGGAAGAATATATGACCCCATTTGAATCTAATGAATCAACTCTACCAACTCTTTTGTACATTAATTAGCTAAAGGTGGGGGAGCCAAAGAAAGATAAACATACTGTCCATTCTCAATAGATGTCAAAGGTATTTAAAAGAATTAACATTAATACCTAATTTAAAAGACTTATACGCTACTGGAAACCCACATGTCCACTAAAAATACACCAATAGTTTCTGTATTGCTTTTACAATGGACTATAGCCCAGAAGCTACATATGAGTGATTGAGGAACTTATTATATTGTGCAAGTACCAGATGACTATACATACTATGATGCCACTTTTACAAAGCTCAAAAGCAAACAAAATCTGTTTGAGCTCAGCCTGTGCAACTCAGCAAGATCTTGTCTCAAAATTTTAAAATAAATACATAAAGGGTTGGGGATGTAGCTCAGTGGCAAGGCCTTAGGATCAAGTCTCAGTACCACAAATAAATAACAAATTGTTTACAGTGATATGCATATGTTATAAAATTTTGAAGAGGCTATGATTAACAATAAATCCCAAATACTTGTTACCTCCAGGTCTGGGAGGCTAGGAGTTGGACAAGGAAAGACATATAGATGGAGCAATATAGGAAATGTTCTTTCTTATTTGAGTGGTATATCCACAGATATCCATTTTCTCTCTCTCTCATTTTCTCTCTCTCTGTATATGTGTGTGTGTGTGTGTGTGTGTGTGTGTGTGTGTGTATATATATATATATTTTTTTTTTTTTTAATCTCAGTATATGAATACTTTTAGTCTCCTCAAATTTGGGCCTTGACACATTTCGTCCCAGAGCTCTTCATCTGTTTGGTACTTGATGCACAATCTAGAACTTATGTCAAATTCCTTGTCACTTGCACCCTCTCCATCTAAAATAATTTGTTTGGTACTTGTGACTCCTACAACCGACTAATGAGGAGTACTAATGTGCCACTGTACTGGGGGTTGAAGCTAGGGCCTTCCCTATGATAGACAAGTGCTGCGCCAACGAGCGACACCCACCCGCCAGCTCTGGGATTTCTTTTAGAGATAGGTCTGGCTAAGGTTCTTAGGGTGCCTTTGAATTTGCAATCCTCCTGACTTGTCCACCCTCCTAACACACCCAAGTAGCAGAGATTACAGTTGTGCTGGCTTCATATATTATTAAATACACGTGTGCGTGCGCAAGCATACACACACACACACACACACACACACACACACACCCCAACTAGGATGGGGTGGAGGGGAGGCCCTACAACATCATAAATGGAATACAACCAAGCAATGAGCCTTACTACAATTGAATAACAAAACAACAAAGTACTGAGAATGTCATGAACCAAGTAACTCTGGAAAACAGTATTTTAACTAAATACTGTAAAGTTAATGATAAAATGACTTGTATTCAAATACTGTGCTATAGGTAGTAAGTTTGTCTTCATGGGTAATTATTGTGCTATTCTATAACTGAGCAAATTCATAACTATAATGTGGAAATTGCTGACACAAAAACAGCAACTAACAATTCTAAACTGGGCTAGGTAGCACACCGCTGTAATCCCAGCCCTCAAGAAGCTAAGGCGGGAGAAGTTCGAGGCCAGCCTGGGCTACTCTGTGAGACCTTGTTTCAAAAAACAAAAACAAAAATCAAAAAAGATGATTTGTTCTGAGCCAACACAATGACCAAGCCCACGAAACATAAACTCAGCTTAACAACATGTAAAGTCAAAGGACGTGATCCTGGGAGAATTCACTGAAGGGCATGAAGAGATTACATAAGCCTTTTATGGTCCCAAAAGAAAGCAGGCAGAGAAGGGTGAAGGGGGTGAAGGGAGGGCAGGGGCATGGGGAAAAAATAAGAACCAAGACAATCATGTAAAGGTACAAGATCCCAATGCGAAGTGTAACTGTATTGTTTGCCTTAAATCCACCAATAAACTTAACGGGAAAAATATTTTTTTAAAGTAGGCAGAGTCAAGTGGGCAAACTAGAAAAAGGCAAGGAAATCTACCACAGCACTCAATGCCACCTCACTGCCAACCTTACTATTTAATAGAGGCCAGATGTCCACCAAGCCTAAGATACCTTTTAAGATTTTATCCAATCGTCATACAAAAAAATCCTAAACCAGACACAGAGACCAATAACAAATGGCTATCAAAGGGCCAAAAATAACCCAGTAAACTTAGGCTTCATAGTTTACAATACAGTATCTCCACAAGGTCACAGCACTCTTAATCAATAAAATTTAAACAAATTCAAACAATATGCAAGCTCAAACTTCAATTTACAAAGTCATTCCCTGATCACTGTTACCCCATAGTCGGAAAGCAGATGCCTTTGGGGCCTGACATCGCTCCAGCAGACAGTGCCCTCCAAAAGGCTTATTCTGCTCTTAAATGGCTTGGGGAGGCTTTGCTTTTTCTGTGCTCCCTCTCGCTCCTGATTCATGACCCTATGTCAGGGGCGGGGCGGAGGTGAGAAGCTCGCACTCAGTCCAAACGCGGAATGCGTGTGAGCCCCTATGACCTCAACATGTCAAAAGACTTGAGAACACCTCGGACCACTTCGCCCCCGCAAACATTCCGCCCTCCGGCTGTACCGACACATCTTTCCAGAATGGATCACGGGCTAGATGCTCGGGGCGTGGCGGCTGGGACAATAACACAGGCTTCGCCTTCCATGGGTCGGTTCATAATCGGCCACCACCAGGTCCAAAGCAAGAGTGGAGGGAAGAGGATCTCAGGCCGCCGCCCTGCTCCCTCTCCCAGGCTCAGCCTTGGGGACAGCGCTGGCCGTGAGAGAAGTAGCTCTACCCAGCGTGTAAGAGAGTCCTTCACGGACCCAGAGGTTTGGCATCACTGCACCATACTCACCTCTGCAGCGGGCAGCTCCGCGGCGCGGCCGGAAGTGCGTCACCAGGCGCGACCGGACTCTCTAGGAGGGAACTTCTCTCCTCCTCGGTGATGCTCTCGTCCCGCCTCTTGAGGCCCGAGCGCTAGCTGCCGGCTTGGTGCTCTTCTCCCCTTCCCATGGTGCTCTTCTCCCCTTCCCAATCTCCCTCGGGGCTGTTACCCCATGGGGGCGGTTACGCCTTGAGGGTCCAGGAGAAGCGAGAAGCGGGGTGCAAGCCGGGCGTGGTGGCTCCAGCTTGTGTTTCTGGCACTCTGGAAGGCAGAAAGATTGCAAGTTCGAGCCCAATTTGGACAAATTAGAGATTTAGCAAGACCCAGTCTCAAAGTAAACAGTTTTTTAAAAGGTGGGTGTGGCCCTGGGGATGACACAGCCGCAAGAAGTCACAGAGCTGCTGGATCAGCCCTATACTGCTTGGCTTCAGATAACATATAATAGAGAAACAAACTTTCACCATATTCAAACCACATTAATTTGAGTACTTCAAATTAATTCCCAATCCCACATCCTAAAAAATAGTCCTAGAAATGAGGAATGATGGAAAAGCATACAATCTCATAGTTTAAAATCTAAACTGGCCTTCACACTGGAGTGCTGTGGAAGCCTATCTCTCTGTTTGGCCTGCAATTATGATTGTTAAATTTCCTCCTGCTCAATTCTAAGCCTTTTTCTCCTGTACCCTCTGTCCTCACAGAGCCCCCTGAAAACTCTTCATCCCCTGAAAACTTCATCCCTGACCAACATAGAAAACTGACAGTCTTCTCACATTAAAAGCTCCTGTTTTGGTGTTTCTAGTATTATTATCAGACTAAGGATAGTTCTGCATGCTTTTTCTGTTGATAATTGTAGCAAAACAATAAGGATTTGGTTGGAGTTCATTCCAGGAGTTCAAGGATGACTCAACATCATGAAAAACTTTTAATTTATCGGTATTATGAATTACAGCAACAAAGCAATATATTATGTGGAGAAATATACTAAGGAAGGCAAGGTCCTATTCACAACATAATCAATATAGGAGTAAGTCTGATAACCAATTTTAAGACATATATGAAGAAAAATTTAAATATTGAACTAAATGAATAAAAGCTTGTATAAATGGAAAGACATAAGTAATTTTTCAGTTGAAAGGATATTATTATTATTTGGGGGGGGTTGAGACAAGGTCTCACTATGTAGTTGAGACTGACCTGGAACTCACTATGTAGCGCAGGCTGGTCTCGAACTCACAGTGATCCTCCTGCCTCAGCCTCCCGAATGCTGGAATTACAGGCGTGCGCCACCATGCCCGGCTTTGAAAGGATATTATTTTTTATTTATTATATAACAGTGTAAATTATGTAAGTCCAATGTCAAATAAATCCCAAATAGGATGTGTTTGGAACTTGTGAAAATGATTCTAAAGTTCATCTAGAAAATAATATGTCACATGTTTATGAAGTGTGACTAACACTTAGGAACACACAAGGATTGCAAGGTTTTGTTTGTTTGTTTTATTTTTCTTTTTTGAGATAGGGTCTTGCTCTGTAGTTTAGGCTGACCTCAAACTCATGGCAATCTTCCTGCCTTAGTCTCTCCCATACTGGGATTACAGGCATGCACCACCACACCCAGCAGGATTGAAAGTTAATGAATAAAACTTTATATATCGGACATGTACTAAGTTAGAGGAAGGTGGCATAGCCATGTTAATATCTTACAATGACTTTAAGATTAAAAAATTATTAGGCATGTCCCATTTCAGTTAGTATGAGTAGTATAAATTATCATCTAGAAATTTAGGATAAATTAGAATATACAACATCATTTTGAAAACTTAGATCACAGGAAAGTGTAGCCACATGCCAAAAATGGACCAGAACTAAAACGAGAGATTATTGTGGCCCAAGGAGCTGGGCTGCTGCTTTGATCAACCTGAATATGAATGGTAGAGATCTGTAAGTCCTGGTATTTGAGGAAGCTGAATTATAGTATTTGGAAGGACTGCATGGATCAAGGAGTAGGAATCAGTGCTTTCCTCACATGCACACACACCCAGATACCTGGACTCATGAAAGAGTAAATGAGAAAAAAAAGATTAACCTCATGAGCAAAGAGAACAAGCTTGTGGTTCTTGCCCAAACTTTGCAGAAGTAGTGGAAATGTCTCCTAGGACATTTATAATAATAGTCTATATCATGGAGTACAGAGTTTAAATACTATATATTTAGACCATAACTTATAATCCAAAAAATTAAGTTAAAAATTATTCCTTGTAGGGCTTGGGATTTAGCTCAGTGGTTCCGCTGCCTGCCTCGCAAGCACAAGGACCCGAGTTTGATCCCTGGTACCAAAGAACAAAAACCAGGTATGATGATTGGCTAAAAATTGTTCCTGGTGGATTTCCAAAATATTCATTATAGAACTAGGGGAAGATGGCACTTAAAAATCATTGCAATTATATCTAATGCATTCAAAAGTTAAACAGAGGCATGGAAGATATTTAAAAATTTCTAAATCAAAGTTATAGAGATAAAAAACTTTAATGTTCAGTGAAAATATAGTGGATAGAAGCCAGACATGGTGATACACACCTGAAATCCCAGCATTCAGGAGGCTGATGCAAGAAGATCACCATGAATTGGAGGTCAGCCTGGGCTACACAGTAAGTTCAGGGCCAGCCTGAATCACAGAGCAGGATCCTGTCTCCAAAAGAAAAGAAAAAGAAATAAAGAAAATTGGATATGTTTGGCAGCACATTAGATAGTGCAGAAGAAAAGATTAATTTGAAGACATGGAAATAGAAGCTGTCCAGAAAGAAATACAAAGAAAAGGAAATAACAAATAAATGTATGGGACTGAAATGTCCTGGCTTCTTCATTTGGTAGCTGTGAGACTTTGGGCCATCATTTAGGTGTCTGTTCATCTGTAAATAGGTCCGTGTGCATGCGTGTGTGCACAGAGGACAGTAATACTGATTATGCCCACAGCAGGCCGTGAGGAGTTAACCCCTCCATTGGCTTCTTTGTAGAAGTGAGTGTGGCTGAAGCCTACATGCTGAGGTCAGGGTAACTCACACCCAAATTCCATTCCTACAACTAAAACCTGACTAGAAAGACAGTGTTCTAATTACAACCATATATTTTGTCTATTCTGTTCCCAAGAATGCTTTGTCTTGTCTTTTGTGTGTCTTGTTTACATTAATTCCCATAAAAACTGAACATAGCTTGCCTTTACTCCAACTGATTGCCAATAATCATGTCTGGGACTGGCCAGGGCCTTTGCCAGTTGCACCAGCATTGCTCATCCTGGTACCCCACTTTCTCCTTCCTCATTCTATCTTTTAACTTCTCAGGCCTGCATTATATACTGGGTAGGGTACTGGAACCTAACTACAGGGGTCTCCTCTGTGTGTGTGTGTGTGTGTGTGTGTGTGTGTGTGTGTGTGTAGTAATTGTTCAACTAATGTTAACTTATCTGCCTTATTTGTGGATCTGCTTACATTTCTGTATTCATCAATAAAGCACAAATGCATAAGTTTGCAAATAGGGCATTATCATATCTAGGGGAAAGAGGCTGTAATGCCAGACTCCTTCAGGAATTTGGTTTACCTGACTTCAAAGAAACTTGCTAACAGTGATCAAGTTCCAAAGCTTTTTACCACAGAGAGAGCAGACACAATCTACTGTGTGATTTTGAAAAGAGGTTAACAGTTGAAAGTTAGCCAGGGAAGGAAATAGTATGAACAAGAATCAAGCAGCCTGTTTCCAAATAAAATACAATGCACCTCCTTCCTCACACATATTGCCTACTGGCTGGCCTCATGCATGTTTCTAGGAGGAGCCCTGAGTATCTTACACAGAACAGCCAGTGTCATCCAGATGAGGCAAAGGTAGCACCTTGGACAGCACCATGGTCTCCTTGTCCCTGCTGGTCCCCAGTACGTGAATGGCTCTAAAAACATATACTGCAGAGACACAGATAATTTCCTGGGACTTTTGACTCCCATATGCCTAAAAGAGTTTTCATACTTGCTACACTCATAGGATTTCTTTCCAGTAGACTCTTTAATGCTATATATTTCTTTTGCTAGTGGAGATTTTTCCATATTCTTCATGTATGTAGGAAGGCTCATGAATATGAGTTCTTAGATGCCTTTCCAATTGTTCCTGAAGACTGAAGGCTTTCCCACAATTTAGGCAGTCAAAAGATTTCTCCTCACCATGAATTCTCTGGTCCCAGGTTAGTTTTGTAGGAAAACTGAAGGCTTGTCCACATTCTTTACACAAACATGGCTTTTCCACTGTGTGGATACACTGATTCTGGCTAAGAGGAGAAGTCCTTCCAAAGCTTTTGCCAAACACATTATGTTCATAGGGTTTCTCTCCAGTGTGGATTTTCTGATGGCAAATTGGTGGTGAGTTCTTAACAAAAGTTTTCCACACTCACTGCAGTCATAGTTTCTCTCTAATGTGGATTCTCTGGTGTGGAACAACTCATAACTATTGGTGAAGCTATTTCCATACTCCATGCAAGAATAGGGTCTGTGCCCTAGTGGATTCTCTGGTGATGGATCACATTCGCATTACTACTGGAGGCTCTCCCGTACTCCTGTCCCACGTGGGTCCTCTGGTGTCAGATTAGTGAAGAACTGTCACCGAAGGCTTTTCCATCCTCATTGCACCTAACGGGCTTCTCGCCAGTGTGGATTCTCTGGTGTCTAATAAAGTAAGGAAAACAGCTGAAGCATTCCTCACGCTCCTCATTCGTCACAGCTGAAGGACTTCCTCACATAATAGATTCTTGCAACCTTTCCTCCAATGTTTTTCACCCTTGGGGATTCCTGGCACCTCACCACATCGTGTGTTTTGGCAGCCAGTTGCCTTTGGGAGTCACATGGTATCACATCTCTTTCTCCTGAAATCCCCTGCATTGATGTGGATTTGTTGTCAGCATTGGTCTCAGCATCTGACACAAGAAATAGAAAACACAAAAGCCACCTGAAACTGATACTGGAAATAAAGAAATACTGAACATTTTAGGAGTCAAAGGATGTCAATCCAACCTTCACATCAGCCTGCTGGGAAGACAGGGCCATTAAAATCAAAGTGCCAAATGTCATAAAACCACAGAGAACGGTTAGAGTGGAACAGGGTTTCAGTGCATACATTGCGTGTCAGATTACTCCTGAAGCTTTCCTAGGCTCTGTGTCTCCCTTCTCAGGGTCAGAAAGTAAAACAGGAGAGTCACAAAACAAAGGTACCGCACGAACTGTTGCTTTTTTAAAAAATGCACACCCTGCAGATGTCCCCAGAGGTTGGAGTCTGAGTATTAAGGGCACTATATTGTGGTAAGACAGAAAGAAAACCATAGAAGGACTGAAAGGACAACGTCCTCAGTATGCCACATGATAACCTGGTGCCAAGGTTGCCATCTGCAGGTCCAAAGATGGAAAACCAGAGATGAGCAAACACCATAGCACTGATGGCTGTGTCTTGTCACCTGACTCACAAAGTCTGAACCTCAAATGTGCAGAGAAATAGTGTTCTAGACTCTGTCTATGTAAAAAGAGAAAAACACAGGGAATTTGGACACACTGAGACCACAGAGAATGCTGTCTCACATTAGCAAAAAGGAGACAACGACCCACAAAGATCACCTGTGTTCCTAAAGAGTGGATGATATTTTAACTCAGTTAAAGTCAACCCTTTTGTGTATAAAATGTTAGGCTAGCTTAGTTTTAGCATCAATCAGGTTATCTGGGATTGACCTGACTGGCTAATCAAGTTCTTCTTAAGAGTATAAGTGAATGAGGTAAGAGCCTTAGAAGGAAAGGATTGGGAGAGAAGAGATTTGAGACTGAAGTGAGCATGGGGGCCAGTAGTCTGCAAAGGAATTAAGAAGGCACTTGAAGGCTGGATTCTGTTCTCATACTTTTTTCTGTTCCCTCGCTCTCTTGCTACTAGACCATTTGATGCCATAAAATCAGGACTGAGCAATCAAGGACCCCAAAACTCTTTTTTTGCTGCTCCATGCTCAGCACCCACCCTCATAGGGATCCCCAAACTTCTTTCAATCATTCACCATGCTCCCTTCACCCCCAAAGCCCATCTCCCTAGTCCCCCAAGCCCTAGCATCTCTGTCCTGCCTAAAGAAACCAGGGCAGCCCGAGTAAAGGGCCCTCAATGTCTTTCTTTTCAGTTCCACATCCTCCCACTCAGACTTCCCTCCCAAGCGTCACATTTAACTTCCCAACCACCCCTCACGCCATCTCCTCCTGCTTCATCTGATGCGCTTGCTCTATCAGCTTCATCTCTTCATCCTCAACCACTTTCTTTAGATCTCCAAATCCATCTGGGTTTAATGTTCATCCTTTCACAGCCAAGTTTTTCTTATACTGTTTTTCAAACTGCTCGGACATTAGTCATGGAGTCGATATAATGCATCACTATCAAACAATATGAAATGTGCTAATCTACATTTTTGGGAGGGGGGAACTGGGTACTGAACTCAGGACCTTGTGCTTTGGAGGCAGACGTGGCACCACTGAGCTAAATCCCCAGCCCCTGCTAATCTACATTAGAACAGAATAGGAAATGCTTACACACAGCAATGGTAAGGGTGAATGTTTTTCCTGATATTCATTTTAGGAAACATGTGGGTGACACAGGGGTTGCTATAAAATATAAAGCCTGCTGGGATTCATGATTTTAAAAGTCTGAAAAGCACAACTGCTTACCATGTGGTATTTTCTTGCATTCTTTTCTTATGACATCTTTTAATTTCACAGGCCTCAAGAACCCATAACAAACAATCCCAGCCCATGGGGGTCACCACCGTATGAAGGTGAATGCACAGAAGGGCCTCTCAACTTGTTGGTACAGGTGCTTGAAGGAAACATCACTATACTTACCATGGGACACCTGGTACCCCCAGGCCTTAATGTCTATCTCCAGGCACTACAGAAGGTCCTTCCTGTCATGACCTAACTTACCAGGCCCAAACTTACAGGGCCCAAAAATAACCTTTTTGGACACCAGATAATATAATGGCTCTGCACACTGTGCAAGCTGCTCGTCACTCTTCTCTCTTGACACCACACACCACCACCACCTCCGATGGATGCCTCGCCATGGCCTCTGCCCCGGCCAGGTGCAGCAGCACCTCCAGGTTTTTGCTATAGTTTAGCACTTGCAGCAAAAACCGTTTCCGGAACACTTGCTCACCAAAGACCTGAGGCATGTCCTCCAAGAGCTTGACCAAGGGCTGGATGGCGTAGAACTGGGCCTCACAGTACACCTCAGGGGTGGGCTGCATGGGCACCTGCCCACTGCACAGGTAGTCCAAGATGGGTTGGAAAAAGGTGCCAGGGAAGTCAATGAAGAAGTGGCCTTTAGCGTCCTTGCAGGCCGTGGCTGACCTGGAGAACATCTCTGCCATTCTGGAGCCCAGCACTTTCCTAGGGTATGCTTGGTGGTGTTGAAGACCTGGTCTCCCACACTCAGCTAGGCGGGCTGGGCAGCTCATTCCTGGGTGGTGGGAAGAGGCTCCAGAATGACAAAAGAAATGAAAGAAGACCTACTTCTGGGGAGATGTACTATGTTCACTGATAGGAAATTTCAGTATTTTTAATATATCAGTTCTTCCAGGATTGATCTATATATTCAAAATAATCTCAGTCAAAATCCTAGCAAGCCCTTGTGTAGAACTCCACAAGTGGTTTCCATTGTATGCTAGTCATATAATAAAGCTGGAAAAAAGCAGCGGAGGAGAGGAAGGATGACTTTTTAAATTATACTAGAACATTTGGGTATCCCAATGGGAAAATAAAACGATTCTTGCCTCACACCATTACAAAAATAAATCCCAGGTGGATTAAAAATCTCAATGAAATAAATGTAAAATTATGAGAAAGTATGGGTGGTACCATTTGTATAAATGAGCATCAAATCGCCTGCTCCAAACTGACAATTAACCTCTTTAGTGGGTGCCTCAGCAAGGACCTGGGCAACTTGTACCCCAGCATTTCCTGTAAACAGACACCGCACCTCCAGGGACACTTGAGATGGTCTCCCTATAAGTGTTTGCAGCCCATTGCGACCTACCTTGTCATACCACCTAGCCGACAAAGATTACATCGCCAGGTTGAGTGTTTTCCCTTGACCCTCCCACTAACTGTACTGATACTGAGAATGACCTGCTGTGAGTCAACTGCAGCCCCAGCCATTCCCTGAAGGTGTGCTATTTCCTGCCACAGGTCAAGGATACAGCTACAAGTCCTAAAATGCACAGGAGCACTCCCTCCCAACACATATTATCAGACTCAAATGTTAATAGTGCACTGAAAACCACAGTGATTTCCTTAGTTACAAATAAGCCCTAACCAGATCAAAAGTCAGGGCTGCCTTGCTATTCTAGATCCATACCAAGTTTCTAACATGGAAGTAAGAATAACAAAAGCTAGATACAGGTATTCAAGATCAATAGGATTTAGGAAAAAAGATTTTTTTAAAAAATCAGCCAAAAAATTAGGAATGACAAAGGGCATATATTGAAAATATATTTAAAGTAGGGAAAATAGCAGGCACACTTCCAAGCTAATGGATTTGCAAGTGTTAGCTGGAAATTATAAATCTGTCAATAGTGACTCAAGAAGACATAAACACTGTAACTGATCAATGCCACAGAAGAAAAAAATAAAGTAGCTAAAGTTCTCTTCACTACCTCCATGTGCAATATAGCTTGCTCAGTCAGTTTTATAGGTGGAATTTTACCAGATACCTAAAGAACAGACAACCAGTAGGCCATTTATGCTCTTCTAGAACACAAAGAACAGCCTCTGAACCAGTGTCTAGTTCCTGAATCTTGACAAAAATGAAAAAAGAAATTAGAAAGCAATCACACTTGTGAATACAGATGCCAGTGCCCTAGATATATTAACAAATATAACCCAGAAAGGCTTAAAGAAATTTAGAACACTGGTGTCCAACTAAGGTTGGAAGAATATAAGCGTTGCTCAATTTTAGAGAAACAATATAAGTAAAAGAAATATCATCCTAAGAGTTCTAAAATAATATATCAATTTCTATTAGATAATGAGTAAAAAATACTTTTAATATTTATTATCTTTTAAATGTTCTTTTTAATTCAAAATTTTAGTTTAAATTTATTTTTTGTTGATATATAAAAATTGTTCTATGTGATTTTTCAAAGCATCTATACCTATTGTGTAATGGTCAAATTAGGGAAAATTTATTTCCTCAGATATTTATCATTTCTTTAGGTGCAAACTTTTAAAAAAATTTTTCTTCTACCTCTGAAAATGTACAGCACATCATTATTATTATTAAATACTTTTTAAAAGGTGGGGAGCATTTTGAAACGGTGTCAGTACATAGCTCAGGCTGGCCTTGAACTCTCTATATAGCCTAGGCTGGCCTGGAACTCATGGTCTTCCTGCTATGACCAGCTAATTGTTTTCTATTTAATATTCATCTTCCCCATAGGCTATCCATTGACAAAAATTTAGTTTTATGATAACTGCAATTTTTTAATCACAGTGCTTAAATTGTAGTAACTTCCATCCACTTGGATGCCTCAATGTTTAGCTGGTTTAACTGAGTTAGTGGCTTTCCAACATTCACAATTCTTTAGTGTCTGTCTCTCTGTGAATCTTCAGAATCACAGCTGTGATCTTTCCAACCCATTACACATGAAAATTTCTTCATAAGTTAGATTTAGTGAAGCAAGTCACATTATGTTAACCCTCAAGGCTTTGAAACATGAGTTATTGAAATGGCTATACATCAGTAAGGATTCTAAGGGACAGAAAACCCAACTCAAAACCACGTAAGCAAATGAAACAAAACAAAACAAAGAATACTGGAATTTATTGATTCATGCCACTGAAAAACCCAGCAGTAGGTTTAGTTC